CTTTTACCTACATTATGTTTTATCAGTTGGTTTGGTTCTAAATACTAGCCTATGAAAATTCCCGTATCCCTTTCGTAGTATTTTCTACAGAGTTGTTTTGAAAGTATTTTATTGACAATATATCAAATTGGGATTATATTAAGCCACAATATCTAAAAAATCTTTAAGAAGTAGCTTCCTCAAAACTTTTAACTCTATAGAGAATTTTCCCCCCTTTACTATATACGCTTGAGTAAAAAGCTTAGCAATGATTACCGAAGTACAACTTAAAAATTGACTTTTTCTATCACCAACAATACCAGGTCTTTGTGTAATTTACCATGAAGCATTAATAACTTATAAAAATTTTATAATGAATGTCTTTTCCTGGAAACTTTCCTGTACTATCTCTGACTCCCCTTCATTATTTATTTAAAAACCATTATGCCACAATTCTTTAATGTGTCAAGATAAATATTACCATCAGTTTAATGTGAACATGAACTTCTGAGTACAGTAAACTCCAGTAAAAATAAATTTAAAAGCAAAAGAATTTTGGGCTGGCAGTTTTCAAACACAACATATGTTCACAGAAGGGTCTGGAATTCCTGACCTTCTGAAAACCCATGTTTTACAAGGCCATAACAATAAAGCAATGATGAGTCTCAATGATAACTCTACCATAACCTATAGAAACTGTCCACAATACACAGGAAGTAGGCCACAGGGCTACTGCAGAAAGTGACATCAATCCAGGGTCTTGGTACCTGTCTTCCTGCCCCCCTGACCAGTTACAATGAAAACTCAACCTGCTGAGAAAAATTCTCCACATTCCATCTCTTTTTTTTTCAATTTCTTGTGTTTGACTGACTTGACCATCCATTAAGTTTGGAGTTTCCACCCAATACCTCCCAAATGTGGAGGGAAATTAATCCTAAGGATTGAGTTAATGATGCGAGCTGCAACAATGAGGGGTTCTCATTCCCAACGAATTAACGATTCATGTCAATTTATCCCAATTAGATATCAAAATATTTTTATTAAAATTGATACACTTCATGCTACATAAATTTTGTTTCCTCCCCTCTGATTGAAGTTTGCAATATTTGATTCTGACATTCTCAATATCGTGTAAAGAATTTTGCTGTTAAATGCTTACTTTAAATCACTGTAGATCAGATATGTAACTTTATACATCCTAAAACTCCCATCTATGACAATTACATCATTTTCCCCCTATAACATTATGCTAATGCATCAATATTTTCTGTATATACCTCAAAGATTAAAGAATTTACATGAATGGCAAAGATATATATTAACTATTTCTAGATCACAACAGGGGTAAAAAATTGAAAATATCTATTTTATATGACCCAGATTTCCAAATATACCCAAATCATCATATTGTCTAGTCATTGCACATAAAGTTACCCAAGAAATTAGCAAACTTTCACTTTAGCTGTTAGGTGATTAATGATTCATCAGCAAGGTCAACACAGGAACACAAAGTAGCCCATAGAAGTGGACCCCACAAGCACCTTGCGTTTATAATTGATACAGAAATATGACATATCTGTCCTGGCTGAAAAAACAAACCTGACATAAAAATAAAAACTGCATATTTGCGTTCTGGTCAGTAACAATGCAAGACACTCCTCTCTGTATTAGCTTTGTACATGGTGGTCCCAACTGACCACTGTTTAATTTCTGACACCTTGACCTACATTTTTAGACCCTTAACATATGGCCCCTAATGCCACTGCAGGACTCTGTGACTGTACAGTCTAAGCTTTTGTCAACAGTCACTTGAAATTTGCTGACACGGTACTTCTCATCCTTCGAGCCTAATCTTTAAATATTTACACTGTGATTTTCATGCCTGCCGAAAACCAGTTTATTTTTTAAATCTTGTTTTTGTGGATGAAAAGGAGAAAATGTGAAGTATGAGAAATTGGTGCTGATAAGATTTTTGTAGCCCTTGGTCAGGTAGTTTAGAGAGGTAGGATTAATCTTTATGGCCTGTCGCACCACTGCAGCTAAACTCTTACAGTACCTGCAAAACCTGTGATCAAATCCTCACATGTACAAATGAACCTTAAAAGGAATTAAAATGGAAGGAAATTGATATTTTAAATGGGACATCATAAAAGCAGCCTGTGTTGTGTGGTATGCCATTCATAAGCCTGGGCGGCTAAAACATTCCTCCCCACACAGACTGCATTCCCCTCATTCATAACCCTGGGCTCTGTTGATATGGAGAGAATTTTTTTTTTCTCTCCCTCATAAAAAAGCTTGGTGATATCCAGGTACAGTACATCAACAACACAAAGAAGAAACATTTAAAGACCACACAAAATTCTGCACAACTGCATATTTACCTGTAAGAAAGATGCATGTACAAATTACAAATGCAAAAGAATTTAAACGAGTCAAATTTGGCAAAACAAGTTTCCTATTTCAAATCTTAAGACCCAAGGACAGTCATTTTTTCTCTCTTTCTTTTTCTTTGAAAGAAATGAAAAGATTACTCAGTGGACAACACACAATTAAACCAAATTTAAGTCCATGCAAGACATTATTACACAGGTAAACCATTTAGAAGCTCTACATTCACAGTCTTTGTTGCTGCACAGATCCAATGCCAAATTCACTTCCTGTAAAGATTCTATTTACAGGAAATGGTGTATGCTGCAAACCAGGAAGACAGATACACAATATTTTGATCTGGACCCTTCAGAATAAAAGGTGTTCGGGTATCATACAAAGAGCACCACCTGCATCACATGCTTTTGTCTCCGGCATTTTATCTTGCATTTGATATTGCAGTATTCACCCTAATAAGCACCCCTGTAGAAACAGAGAAAGCATCCTTTAAAACAATATTTCTCACTTTTATTTAAAATTGCTTTAGTTAACAAAAATGATTCTTTAAGATTATTGAAAAAATAAATAATGTTTAAATCAAGAAAACAACCCAAATTACAATATTTACAGACATGTGTTCAACAGTGTTGGGTGTTCATAGGTTAAAAGGCATTAGTTTTCTTGTTTTAATCATCAGATGAATGTTTGGAATCAAAAATGTCTTTCATTCAAAACTTTAACTCCTAAAAACTTTACACAGATCCCATGTAACTCTCCCCCCTTTCCCAAATTTTACAACCTAGGATGCTTAGTGGGGCCAATATGGTATTTAAGAACATGCATTTTTTATGACATGACACCACTTGCAGCATCTGCAATTTGTACCAGCAGCAGGGTCATGTTTTGACAGTTCCAACTACCCAGGACAAAAAAGTGTATAAATGAAAGACTATCAGCAGCATGGTCCTTCTATACCTATGACATATTACATCTGTTGTGAAGCAGATATATAACAGGATTTCCTTTGAAGTGTGGTGATCTTTATTTTCCTTTTACAATTGAGTCCACTCAGCATGATTTCAGCTTAAGATAATCATCTCTTAACAGCTCTCCCATTCACATTTCATAACAAATGCCCAACCTTAGTCACATGACATAGTCAGTGAACAAAAAGGAAACAGAATGCCTAATTTCACTTTCATCTCTGTCTAAATGATGCATTTACTGCATACATTATTCAATTGAGAGAGATATGAATTATACGTCATCTGTGTATGCACTGAAGGCATAAATTAGCATTCATTAAAGAAAGGCATTACATTAGGGGAGCTGATGTATAAGTCTGGGGGAAGAAAGACAACTCAGAAATTCTATGAATATTAACAGATATGATTCAGAAGTCAAATTAAAAAAGCAAATTAAAAGATGACCCCAGGTGGGGGTCTGGGGACCGCCTAGGACCCCAAAAGCTCTGGAGTAAATGGTGCAAAATTCTGCATTCTTTGCATTTCCTGGCACTTAAATTCACTCTAAAATTATCCCTTTTTAAAGGAAAAAAATATGAATATTACTCGTTACCTTCTCTTTATCGACATCTTTCACACTTTTGTTTAATAATTCAGATCACAAGATTTTCTCATCCATTACCATAATCAATGTTTCCAATAAAATTTCCAACAAGTGGCTGAATAAATACTCCAAACGACATCCAGTATCTTTAACATTATTCCTGACGCAGAATTTTTGCATCCGTTATTACAATCCATGTTTCTAGTTAAACTTCTAGCAATTGGCTAAATAAATAGTTCTAAATTCTAAATGGCCCAATGAAACTGCATGTTACATTGAATCAACACAGTAGGTATAAAACAGATTTTTGGACAAAAATGGTATAATCGGATAATATTGATTTTTAAATAGATTTAAAAAAAAAAGAATCGGAATACAAATTTGAAATGGATTGAACAAATTTTAAAAGCAGAATTCTGCTTTAAAGCATAAAAAAATCATGTCTGTATTAAAATTACTATGAGATTTTCAATGTTGATTTTCATTTGCCCTACTTTAATCTTTTTATTTTAAATAAGTATTTACAGTTCATCACTTACTTATGTCTATAAAAGCAAATTTAGATCTATATACATCCAAATGTGGGGATCCAAATGCAGTTTCAGAAGTCAAAATGGCATTTTTCAAGTTTTCGCTAGAACACTTCTAAGTATACCTAAAAATAAATACGATCTTTTTCTTCTGAAAGAGATTAATTATGCTCTTGTTCAAATTCACAATTAAGTTCATTTTATTGTTTGTGACAGTGCCATATCACATTTGATTGACATACTTCTTTTTTTCATGATGTACTTTCACTCTTTCTTATAGGACTGTTATTTAATTTTTGCTAACACCTGAATTCATTTTGAAAAAATCTAGAAAAAATGGCTGTGATTGACAACAAATGTCATGTTTGAAACAATTAAGTTTTATCTTTATTATTTCAAAATTTTATTGCTAAACCTGTAGCTCTTTCAGATTAAAGTATGGTTTTGTCCAGCATACACCAAATGAATATATAACGTGTCTCACTGGTCAAAGGGAAGCAACTCTATTTCATTTTAGCCAAAGTGGTCAGTGATGGATATTAGGTGACCACCTACCTCCCAGAGTGACCTGCTCTACTGTTATGTTCACTGGTCCTGAGTTGTCCTGTTTAGAGATGAACTCGTTGTCCACTCCCATAGAGTTGGAGGGAATCTGAATAGTGGCTTGGCTTGTCCCCCCTGTTGATGTGGCTATTGCTAAAGCCTGCTCTATCATAAATATCTCACACCCATTCTTTAAGTGTTCCTGAAAGAAAAGAAAGGATTTAATTGTATAACATTAACAATAACATATGGAAAAAAAACAACACAACAAAAATTGCCAAAAATTTGGATAGGAAATGTCATCAAAATGCAAAGTTTATTGAACAAAGTTTTCCTGCAAAGAGAAGTCTACACTTTCTCTCCACTTGGATCCAACAAATAAAGAAGAGAATCCCCATCATAAGAATGCATAATTTATGAAGACTGAATTTCTCATTTTTGAATTGAAATTACCGAACATAAATCTCTTTTAACTTGTCATTTTCTAATACTATATTCAATTCTCAGCACTCCAAAATAAGGTATTAAAATACAGATGTAAAACACTGCTGTTCGCTTATTGATGAAATAATGAATGAGATCAGTCACTTTTCCAGGTTCTGAGTTTAAGGCTATTCTTACCTTAAGAAGAGGATCAGTTTTGAAGATGGACCCACACTTTTCACAGACATGAGATTTGACATCGGAATGTTTTCTCTCTATATGTTTCCTGATGTCTGTAAACGTATAGCCGTAGAACTCACAGACTCCGCACTTATAGTCCTTCTGACCATTATGTCTGCAATAATAAGGGGGAATTCCCTCTAGAAGTTGGAGTATTATAAGTGCTCAAATTACAACATATTGCTAGCCACTTTGTTTGGGAAAGAAAAGAAAGTCATTTTGTTCTTGACTTTGCTAAATGACAAACAGAATTTCTTAAATGAATGTATATGCATTTGAAACTCACCAGACACCATGTTATACAAATTAATTCCCTTTCTTTTAAATATTCTGCTACAGTGAATTTTACAAATCTGAATATTGAGGATGAACACGAACAGAAATAATGTGGGTGAACATGAACAAAAATTTTGTGGGTGAACATAAACAGAAATATTATGGGTGAACATGAAGAGAAATATTGTGGATGAACATGAACAGAAATATTACGGGTGATCATGAACAGAAATATTGTGGGTGAACATGAACAGAAATATTATGGGTGAACATGAATATTGTGGATGAACATGAAAAGAAATATTATGGGTGAACATGAACAGAAATATTGTGAATGAACATGAACAGAAATATTGTGGGTGAATATGAACAGAAATATTGTGGACAGACAGTGAGACAATGATAACTTCAGAGGGAACCTGATCATGATACTTATTAAAGAGAATGCAGTCCTACCTTTTGAGGTGGAGTTCTTTGTTTTTGATGTGTCTGAAGGCTTTACCACACACATCACATACATGCTTTGGTTCTTCATGAATTAAGATGTGCTTTGATATATCTGATTTTTCACAACCTCTGTTATTTGAAAAAAAAAAAAATAATAATAATAAAAATGGAAAGTGACCAAGTTATTTTTGCATGATAACTGTCATATATATTAAAGAAAACACTAAGATAATACAAAGATTTTTTTTTTTTTTGAAGACAAGTTTAGAAACATGTAGCATGTCACAAAAAGTGACAGTTGAAACATAATTTACATTATCAGCACAATTCGAGATATATACTGTGCCTTTCACACACTAGCCTTTTTAACCTCATCAAATTTCTGAGACATCTGTTCTATATCACAGGAAACAAAGTAAAGCAAAACGTAACAGGGTTGACCTGAACACTGAGATAGGTGATGTACTCCTGTTTTTGTCTGCGGTTTAAGACAATTCACCTGGTTGTACATGACAAATCTTACAGCATAGGCAGAATTTTTGTTCTACATGCACCGATTAAACAGGTCATCTGTCTGTGGTATTCAGGTCATTGAAACAAAACAGAAATAATCAGCAAAAAAACTAAGTGAAAGTTCAGGCAATGTACTGCATTTTGTGGTGGCTAATGTCTTTGAGTGTATATATATAGCACCTACATGTACCCTGTCCTCCAAATGCCCATAACAAGGCAGTCCAACAGGACAACGAAGCAGAATGAACATATCAGAAAGAAATTTGGGTTTTAATATACTCAAAATATGATTTTTATTTAAACTATAGAATCCCCCCCCCCCCCCCCAGATATGTAAACAAGCAAACAAAACCATTAAAATAAAATAATAATAATGTCATTAAAAATTTACATCTGATCATTATTAATAAATAAAGTATAAAAATATTGCAATTAAAATTCATTTCTAGCATATTGCACTGGGACTGACATAAGCATAAGGCTAGCATAAAGTACCGAAATCACGGGACACAAGATTCCTGGAATCTTTCTTCTGTAATGGATATGTGCATATAGAACATTTTAAAACACAATTTGACAATCAGAACAAAGCTAAGGAATTAGCAAGGATCGCCAGACAACTGATCTTTAAGCCTGTGTCTCACTCAGAAAATCCTGTAATTGGTCATAAATTGACTTCTCTTTTACACAGGTAGATCCCAGACTTAGGGGTCATCTCAGTTTATGTGGAAAGCTTTTAGTTTCTCTGTGACTAGATTCACTTTTTACATATCCCCTATCATTATGTTGTTAGGGGGCGGGTAAGCTATTATATACCTCCCTTACCCAATGCTATCTACTGGTATATAAGGATTAGGTTACAGGGAACCTAAGTGGTCCTTGTGATCATCTACAGGCTAGGTATGTTTATAGTTCAATACAGCAGAGAAGAGGTCTCAAAACAGAATGTCAGTGGTCAAACAACCTAGTTCACTGGAGCTGGCTCGTAATGAAAGAGATAGACTGTTTTGGTGGGTTTCAGTTTCACAATGTATGGGTCCTTTGGTACATGTCACACACAGAGAAAACATATAGATTATGTATTATGTACCGGTAGCTTATAGCTAAATAATAGTACTGTCTATGCAATTCCACATTGTCTTCAAAAAAGTGCTGATGCTTTATGACTTGCTTTAAGAAGACCTTAATTGCTCTATATTATATACATGTACTTCCAAATTAATCCATTTCTCCCTTGCTGTGCCTTGAAGCCTACTTAGCTGGGGGAATGGGGGGGGGGGGGTCTTTTGATAGTCTCTAAAAAGTCAGATGAACAGTACCTGAGTTAATAAAATATCTATAGTTTGCAAGACTCAGTTGTCCTTTCCTTCAACTTTCTTACACCATTTGACTTTTGCATTAATTAACATTATCCCTTGCATACATGAATACAAATGTTAATAGTCTTTTTTCAGTATATTTGTATCAAAAATACTAGTATATCAAACTCATTACATAAAAATGTTGCTATGGAAAGTCCTGTCATACTAATAGGAAGGAAACATTCTGCCTACAGCAAAGGATGTAGACACTCTCACAAGTAAAGCATCTGCTCCGTGTATACCAATACTTCTTATCTAGGGGCAGTGTCAACAATATGTCAGTACAGAAACGGTACTTCACAATTACCTAATTAATAAACAGAGACATTTTGTTCCTTGAGTTTATCCTTTTTTTTCTCTAAGAATGAACTTAAAAATAGTCTAGCTTCAAAAGACCTATGAATATTAATATAATAGATATAAAGAACAGTATTGTAAAACTTGTCTAATCCAGACACCAATGGTTCCAAGGGTAATGGCTGGACAAGACAACATTACAGATTAGAAAATATTTCAAAGAAAAGGACTTAAAGTTTACATTGTATTAGGCAAGATTTCGGAATACACAACATCTGGATTAGACAAGTTTCACTGTAATTAATGTAAGTTCAATAGAGCACCAAGGGGCAAGTGTGGACATCTGTTTTAAAAAAAGTACATAAAACTATATATTTCATTTGGTACTTTCATGATGACTTCTGATTTTTGTTTTTAATTGATTCATCATAATATTCAAATACTGAACACATACAGTTAAACTTTGGTATCTCAAACAGATATCTCTACCATGGATATGTCAAAGTGATTTTGAAGTCCCAACCACTTATTCTTTAAATATTTTACCCTTGATATTTCAAATCCTCAGATATCTTGAAGTTCTTTATTGAGATTGAGATAACAAGGTTTGACTGTATATTTATCCGTGTGTAAACAGTTGATCCTCATTAATCTGGATACTTGTGTTTTCAAGCAAATTGTCCAGATAAATGAAGTGTTTGGTTTACTGAAACATACTTTTCACAACTGGTAGCTTCAAATGTAAATTTTAACAACAACAACTTTGTTCTAAAAGGTGGAGCATTCAGATTACCCATGCTCCACTGTATATTCTCAGGCAATTTTCTGTTGTCTCTATGGAGTCATCTTATTAAATAAACACATTAGCTCTGTAACTAGTAAGGAGAATATGGATGGAATCAACCAGCATGCAAACCCTTAATCTTACAATGGAAGGCATTAAAATATCAAAGTTTGCTTATAAACCTTGTCACAAGAAGGATATTAGATATACAGTGTATCTATATAACTATGGTTGCATGCACCTTTGGCCACAATGAGGGCATTCATAAATAGTTCAGTCTGTCTATAGGTATCTGGTCATATGCAGGCATACATTTTGTCTACATATATATACCTATTCTCACACTGAAGTTATTTAGGTATAATTATACGGTTTGTCTAGATACCTGTTGTTAGAATTATGGCATTTTTTCTATAAACCTTTGTCTATGTACCTGTAGTCACAATGAGGACATTTATATGGTTTTTCCGGCTCATGGATTCGTAGATGACGTTTTAAATGAGCTTTGCGGGTGAACTTCTTCGAACACACTGTACACTCAAACAACACCTCTGCTGGCATATGAACCATTTTTACATGCATTTTCAGGATGTACTGGTCCTGTGAAAAAACAAATTTAGACAGCTTTTCAAACCAATTCAAAATATAAACATACATCATTTAGTTCTTTATTATATTCATGTATTATATGCTGCATCATACGCCATATAATAAACATTTTTACACATTTGAACTTGCATGCACTTGCAGTGAAATTTTTTTTAATATTTTCCACCCCCCCTTTTTTTCTTTCATTGGGGGGGGGGGGGGGGGTGTGTGTTCCAAATGCAATGCAGGGTTCGAAATTCACTATATACAACTCGCAAAACGCGAGTTAGAATTCCCAAATTGCGAGTTAAAAATTAGGTAACTCGCAAAAACTTGCGAGTTGATTTTTTTGCATTGAAACTGTAGCAAAATTATATAATATGACAGAACACAACGCTTTTGATTTAAATCAGTAATTTAAAAAAAAAAGGCACACTGTAGTTGTATTTTGTGTATTGTACAGTAGTTACTTTTTCCTTAAGTTACATGTATTTAATTTATATAAATTTAACTTTATATGAAAATTGCGAGTAGTCTTATAAAATTGCGAGTTCACTTTCTTGGTACTCGCAATTATTTGCGAGTTGTAATTTTAGGGAGTTTCTAACCCTGCAATGGGAAAAAAAATGAAATGACACTGTGCATGCAAGTTTGACTGAAGGCTTCTCATGAAAATTAAAAGTGAGTCAGGATGAATAGTATATATGTTGTTATTATATTGTGACTCAGCTTGGCAGATGGTTAAAGGACACACATATTACAAAATCTACTGTCTGATTATCTACCACAGATTACAGGCATTAGGGCTGTCATTTACTGACTCAGCACTAAATTGGACATTCCTTGCATTTACAAATCTACACAGCTTTGAGCATACATTTAACCAAAAAAGTAATTATTTGAAGTAATCTGGCAATATTTAAAACAACTGATCAGAAGGGCATTGTGATTGTTAAATTGTTTATTTTATAATATAATCATAATAATTATCATAAAACTGTTTTTAGAAAAATTTACAATATCTTTTAATATTAAACCTTTTGATTTATCAGCAAATTTTCCCCCAAATGGATATTATTTGAAGTATGCATAAAATGCATCAATTTATATATAGCATATTATCCCTAATTAACTATTAATTTGCACATTGTTGAAATAATTAGAAGAACATGCTGTGCTGCACCAATCTCTGCTTATTTCCTTTGTAAAAAAAATTAACATTAATTAATTGCTCCTTCAATTCTACTTTCAGTACACATGAAAATACACACAACAGATAATGAGCAGAGCACTACATGTATCATCTATTTTTGGATTTTGCTGAATGAAAGTTTTTCTCTGTTCCCACACGGTGCGGAGTTCAGTCACCCTGCTGTACGTACTGCATCAGACAGAATGGTAATCTAAATATATGTTTAGGAGCCACAGCAAAACAATAGCACTTGACACTTTTATTTCTAACAACTAGGTCACAATTTATTACATGCTTATATATAAATATATATCCAAGACATAAAAAGAATATAATATTTTAATTTCCCCTCTAAGGGTAGACAATCAATTGCCTTCAGACTGATTTATAACATTTCTTTCCTTTCTTTAATTTTTTTCTTCATTATATCTACAGCGTAATATGGGACAAACCTAATACATCTTCATAATACATTGATTTATTTTCTATTGACTGTTTTGCCAATTAAATAGGCAAAAGGTTGTTCTGAGTGGGGAGTGAATCGGATCAGCCGCTTTCTCTGGAGCACTTAGCTGCCCTCTACACAGGAAGTCATCAGTGTGCTGGGATTGAAGGGAGATGACCTGTGTCCATTTCAGGTCACGACCCTGTTCCTATCACAATGTTTTTACAAACTTCAATGCACACTTCCTGTTATTAAAAATAAAGCTATTAACATATTATATGGTTTAGAGTTTTCCATATACTTGATAGCTTTGAACTTCACAGGGCTTCCCCTGGTCTACTGCTATTCTGTTAACACATTGGTGGCAACAGTGAAAATATCTTTTCCCCAATCTCTCTGTTAATGATCAAATCATAAACCTCCAAAGCAGTTTTTTGTATGTGTGTCGGTTGGATACCTATAACCTGATTCAAAAGTCAATTATTTTTGCATTCTAAAATACATATTTCCTTCAACTTAAATAAACTTATCAGATTTCTTTTTCCAATATAGTTTTTACAGGTTGCATATGTTTTTAGATACATTTATACATACACCTATCATTCATAATCCATCACTTCAAGTGAATTTCTCACATCTTTTTTATAAGTCAACCATTTTATTGTCTTAAATTTGTAAAATTTATTACTCAGTACATGTATATATGTTTTGCTGTACATTTCATACCTATAATATAATAAAACTTTTAACTTTACCAATTAACGGTAAAGCAGCTAAGCTCATTAACCCTTCACAATGCCATCTTTGCTTATTCCATCAGTAAACTTCGGATCCACCCCCCCCCCCCCCTCACTTTTTCTTATTGATTGTTGTGTTCTAACCCTAGAACACAATCTAGATTGAACTAAATGTATAGACCCACTCATGAACTTTTAAAATGCCCCCTCCCCCAATATCCACAGAATTTACCTGGTTAGAGCAATGGATGTGTAGTGTATGTATTTATTCAGGGGTAGGGTTAGGGGGTTGGGTGGGGTTTGTTGTATGTGTATATATAGTACTTACAACATGTTGTATGTATACATAATAATAGAACATATGTGTTATGAGCGACACTCATAAAAGATGTTTTCAAGGCATGAAAATACACAAAAATATCACAGGTACTTGTGGACAGGACCCCCCCCCCCCCCCCCCCCAAATTCAACCCCAAGGTTTGTTGGACATTATTTTCACAAATTATATTTATTACACTTATTCATCATGTGTACCATAGGAAAAAATCGTGAAAACCCCAAAATAATTGTTCCACACAAAAATACCCCACTTATACATTATAAGAGAAAAAGGTATGCCACTCCAGTTTGTTTACGTTGTACCCCAACTGGTCTTTCTGGGTTTAAAAACATGTATTTATTTTATTTTAACCTAAAATATTGGTTCACACTGTCTCTACATATATTTCTGTCTTAGTTTATGCTATCGGATTGACTCTGAAACTCGTAACAATCCCACAATTTCTCCTTTTACAGCATTGCAGTCAGTGCATTGAAAAATCCTTAGGTAAATGCAACGGAAGTGCATAGAGAATATATTACCTATTATGATAACACTCAAGAGAGATTACTACGTCAGGCCCAAACTCTCTCAGACATTATCGTAATAAGTGATAAATTCTTAGTGTACTTCCGTTGCTCCATATTGTACCCAACTTAGAGACCCTACTTTATTAACCTTATCACAGATTTGTAAGGTGCAGCACTGTCTTTTGTGTCTCATCAGGCAGACCCTACCTTGTAAATTTTACCACCGGTGTGATAATTCAGAATTCCATATTGTACCCACCCAACCTTGTTGATCTTCTAACAGGCCTTTAATTTGTTTCCTCATCCTGTAAACCCTATCTTATAAATTTTACCACAAGTGTGACAATTCACCCTTAAATATTTCTCCACCATGTAAACCTTACCACAGGTGTAACAGGTGCAGCATATAAATCCCTTCCTTGTAATTTTTACCACAGGTGTAACAAGAGCAGCATTTTATTTTGTACCCTTTCATGTAAATTCTAACTTGTAAACTTTACCCACATGTGTAAAAGGTGCAGCCCTTTGTTTTGTGTCCCATTATGTAAACCTAACCTTGTAAACTTTACCACAGGTGTAAAAGGTGCAGCCCTTTGTTTTGTGTCCCATTATTTAAACCTTACCTTGTAAACTTTACCACAGGTGTAAAAGGTGCAGCCCTTTGTTTTGTGTCCCATCATGTAAACCTTACCTTGTAAACTTTACCACATGTGTGACAGGTGCAACCTTCCATATTGTGCCTCATCATGTGACGTTTGATAATGTAAGCATGCTCTGCCATAAAATTACACACATTGCATATACATCTTGGGTGGTTTTCCTGAAATGGTACAACGTTTGAAATTAATAAACAATTTAAAAAAAAAAAAAGATTAATACAGCCTTGAAATGAATTTAAAAAAGTGCATAGAAAGAAACAATATTGTAATAGTCTTCTGCATCTTCTATTAAGCAATTCTGAGTTTTAATATATTGCCAGATGGTAAACTGAACAGTATGCATAAGTAAAACAAGTGGAATATTAATGTCATTACTTTTAAACACTCTATACCACATGTAATAGGAGCGCTTCATACAAAATGCTAAGGCTCATACATGACAATTTTCTTTGGGAGAATTTGTGAGGAAATGCCACACAGTTTTAAGTAGCAGCCAGTTATTTCTGGCATTCACCTCAATGAAGTCACTTTTTCCTCTGATATATGTCATTCTGCATTATTTCTCACAGTTAAAAAAAAAAGCAAAATCTACAAAAAAGTAGAAAGGTATTGATAGAATGAGATCCAAACTGACAGGTTTCCAGCCACCGTTTTTGCAGTAGGATTGCCTGAGTGACATTCAGCATCTGTTCTACCATGAATGAAAGTCTAGCCATGTCTTATCTGAGGGGGGAAAAACACCTAGGGTGGCCAGGGTCCAGTAATAACAATACCAGATCCTTACTTGATAACCATCTATGTACCAAATGTCACCATCATTAAGGGATGGAATAGTGTCAGCAATTCAACAAAATCGGGAGACAAGTACAACTTTCTAAGTATTTTAGCTTCCATCATAATAGGTAGTAGAGTTGAACTTTATTATTACATAACATTGTATCATTTGTCATATCTACCAAAATTTAACAATTCTTGTGTCAAGAAAGTTCAGAAAATTTATTGTGACCTTGACATGACCTTGGCAAAAATTCAAAGGTAATGACTTATTCCAGAACCTTTTCACTAACAATTAAATACTTTATGTTGTGAGAGTTCTAGGAATTTGGTAAAGTTCATATGAAATTAGGTTCTATTTGTAAGATGTATTTAAACTTCAGTCAAGAAAAAACCTCCCTATCTCTTCCTCTCTCTCTCTCTTTAATTCCTGCTTAAAAATTGGGCCAGGCAATTTCCAAGAAAATCTAAATGCTGAAGTATGCATGATAAAAAAAACAATCCTTTATTTCTATGATACAAAGCCATCTGTAAAATAAATTTCCATGAAAAATATGTTCTCTCTCATCATTGTCAGGAAATGCCATGTAATAAAAAAAAATTAAACAGTGGCTTATGTACAAGTGTTAATTGTAATATACCTGTTCACAGTAATTTACCTTGAAATGAGCTAGCAGATTTTCTGGGTCAAAAGACACAAAGTTACAACACTTGCACTTCTGAATTTCCTCTGGGTGGGTTGCGATGTGGCTTTGGTACTGCTGGGGGTAGTAGGCCTGGAAATCACACTTAGGACACTTCATGTTCTGTAATTCTTGATCGTTGAACTTTAACTTTAGACCTACAATCAGAAAAAAATAATTATTCATCATGTACATATTATAAGTTCAAACAGTTTCTTTATATATTCCATAAATATGTTTTAATTGCCACATAAAATGTATGAGAATCTGCTTTCAGAAAAAAACTAAATTTCATACTTCTTAACCAGTATAAAATATCAAATATATAATAAGCCAATTAAAGCTAAAATAAAGACTGAAAAAATGTCCAAGAACATGCATAAATATTTTTTGTGACTGCAATATACTGACTGACAATTATGACCTGTAACTCTGACCTTAGCATAAAAAATCTGACTTTACCCAATATAAACATCTGGTGTTTTGTGTCAAATATTTTGTGTATGATGTCTATACTCCAGAAATAAATGTGCAATACATAGGGAGTCATTTGCATTTCTCCAAAACTGTACTAATTCTTGGACACTTGTAAAGTAGTGGGGCCTCCAATTGTTTTAACTTTCTCTATAAACTGTTTTTTGTGACTTAATGAACAATTATTTGGTAACAGGGAAACAAATGTGTCTTTGGTGTCAAAGTATGCTTTTTCTAGACTATATAGATCTTCAAGTAATGAGGATAGCTTAATAAACATAAATAAAATTATTTGCTTCTGTCTCTCCTATATGAAAATATCTGGAATTTCTGAAATGTTGCTTGACATACCGGGTATTTGAAAAAGAAGTGTGAATAGAAGACCTCTGCATAAATAGCTTCTTTTTTTTCAAAAATACTATTACTCTTAAACTCATGGAATGAATACCAATGAGACAACTTATCATGCAACAACATTCCACAATTTCAAATGACCTTTCCGCAAACATATATAATATATATGCATATACTTCTCAAGTGAAGTTGAAGATCTCCACTTCCCTAGAATTTCAAATTTTTCATTATTTAGCAAAAACCAATGGCTCTTTCTAGAATATGAGAAAGAGCTGATTCTGCATGGGCATAATGCTAAAAAAGTATGTATAGTTAATAGTATCTTGTTATAGAGAGCTAAATTTTAGCTTTCAAAGAAAAAGCAAATTAATTTATTATTCTTTGTGTTAATTTAACTGTTATCTTAATATGAATAAGAACAATTCAATCAAGTATTGTTATAAAAGTTTTTTCACAAAGTTATGATTTTAACTGTATATATATAACGTAACATTTTTGGACCATGTCATATTAAGTTCATTGGTAAAATGCAGAACTGTTACAGATAAGAAACTGGAAGTTTAGAAAACTTTGTTGGTGCTTATGCAACATTTACATACTGTATACAGGGAAATTTTCGCCCCCATTTTATTTTTTCGCCCCTTTTGCCCTACCCACAAAAGGGCGAATTTAAAATGGGGCAAAGTCAAAGAACACGGTATATAATTTCTTAAACAAAACTGTGACTGGGTGGGCGGATTTAAGACGGGGAAAAATTGTTTGCAAGTGTGAAAGGGCAAAAATAACATGCGGCGAAAATAACCTTGTATACAGTAGTCCCTGCACTTACAGCAATGAGAAAAATTAAACTCTGGGGAAGTTACATGTACTAATTATTATTTCAACAAATGTAGTTCTACTGTAACAGTGGAAAAAATGTTTATGCCAAAGTAAAAAATTGCAAAACATAATCTTTAAACTTCACTTTAATCTTCATTTTTCTGAGATGCTCAAGGATAAAGAGTTCTTAAAATTATATCATAGCTTCCAGCTTACAAGTATGTAAGATGCACACAGATATAGTTTCAAGAGATCATCACAATTTTCTTTTTTAATACAGATTAAGAATAATGTATGGTTTTTATCTCAATGTATTCCAGATTCTGACATCTGATTTAAGTAATGCTGACGTGGGCTTTCATTTCATTGGTTGACACCATGCTAAGATTCAGTTATATGATTATAAACACCAACACCGACAAGGAACCAAAAAAAGGAAATGTGTTCTGTAGTTGGCTTTGTTCTGATTTATACGATTTGTATACATGTAGCTACACCCTGTTTTCTCTCCTACTCCAAACTCATCAAATGAAGGGCCGCTCAAACAGCTCCGACAAACACAAAAATAAATTTCCCATGTACTTGACTCATAATTACATAAAAAAATTAAAACCAGTCTCATTCTGAATGGAAAGTGAAATTGCAAAATTGAAAATAAAAAAATGTTTCCTTGTCTATTTCACTCTTTTTGATATTTCATTACAAATACCAAAACCTTTGATGATGGTGAATGCATGTAATGTAAAAACCACAGAAACATTTGTGAGGAATTTTTGGACAATTAAGATTAATTTTGATGGGGGCCACTTCTTGCATGTTCCTTCTGGCTCTAAAGCCGAAGGTGCTGTGTTACTGCAAAGGGGAATTAAAATAATCCTTTTAGAATAATTCACACATCTTAAACAAGTGCGCTCTACCAGCAGGACCCTAATTACCAAAACCACATGGCAACTACTGATCTTAAAAAAATATCAATATCTCTCTTTTTTTATATAGGCCACATATACAGTACAATCATACATTTTTGCTGACATAGCAGTTCAGGTCGATTTTACCATAACCTTTAAAAGACCCCAATGTCACTGGGTTTAAATAAATAAATTACATATATATATATCTATATATCTATATCTATATACATATATATATATATATATATATATATATATATATATATATATATATATATATATATATATATATATATATATATATATATATATATATATATATATGTGAAATACTTATATAGAGTGATGATTCATTTTTAAAATCATTAAAATTATGATTCAACTGCAATTGATTAAGCTCCAGTCATGTACTAGCTAAGTATTGTAAATAGTGGTTGTTGTCTTCTGAAAGAAAGTGCTAATAAAATTTTTAGATTTATGAATGAATGCCGTTGGCTCCCATTTTATGCGTATCTTCTACAATTTCTTTAGAACAGACTATAGCTCTCTCTCATTACAAATCACCTCCCCCACTTTTCCCAGACTCTGCAGTTGCTTTGATGCTGCTTGCCTATTGTGGCCTTGTTTTCTGTTGCCAATCCTCCGAGTGCTAGTCTCTATTGTCACCAAACTCATGTGACATGAGTACTGTGTACTAGAGTCTACTACAGGAAGCTCGTCTCATCAAGGTCAGCGACTAGAACTGCACACTTCATTCATAAAAATCTGCTGACTACATTGATTACAAACCAGCAAGCAGGTGGCGCTGGTGTAGGAAGTCAGGAGACAATGCTGTATCATCAAGGGGAAACCTGTGTCAGCAACATGCTGGAATCAAAAGTAGTTACCGACCACAGGAAAACTAAAAATCATTAAAAATAACACAAAACCTACTAAAGGCAATACAAAAACCTCTCAATGCCACACAATGTTAACAAGCATATTCACTCTTGATTACAGCCACGTCATAGAGATATGATTTCACAAAATTTAGATGTGAAAAACTGGGCATAGTTTCAATTTAAAGATTTTTTTTCTAAACTCCCCCTCCCCAAAAATTGTGTTATTACAAGAATGAAAATACATAAAACCTTGGCAATTTCTCCAAGGTTGCACGGATTGCAGCACTACATGCAAAGAAGAAAGTTTTTTTTGCAGCATCAGCTAGTAGAAATTTCCAGCATCTGATAATATCTCCCATAAAAAATCTACAGAAAAGATTAGTCATCTTCCTGTATTTAAACAGACTTAATCTAATCACACACAGATTTTCATTTTTCAAATACCACACGGAACATGGTGGCATACATCAGCTGATTGAAAGAAAACCTGTTATGCAACTAGGTCAGTGTGCAAAAAAAGTCTCTGGTAAGGCTGTAGCTCTAGAGATTTGAATAAGCTAGGAGAAAACTTACACTTAGAATTAAAATACCCTAAATATTTTTTTTTCCTTTTTGTTATTAAAATGTTAAATTCTCATTGTTACTCTGACACACTTTTGGTCTTTTGCTAATAATTTAAGTAAACACAGCATCCTATAAGAATTCTGGTGGTGTTTGACCCCTAGGTGCATGATCTTTGAAATCTTAGTTCAGGTAGGTTTCAAAGCTTCAAGGGAATTAATGCACAAAAATCTTGAACTTGAAGAATCATCTGGAAAATAAAGATCAGATGCAGTATCCAATGCATTAGACTGGTAGAGTGCATCTCTAGAAGGCTAATAATATACTGAGAATGTATCTGCTTCTAAACTTAAAGTGACAGTACGGCGCATCTCATCAAAAAACTGACTTGATAAAATTTTCCGACAAGATTTGGTATTTTTTTACTGCTCATAAATGTATAAACTTTCAGAAAATTACAATTGTCACAATTAAATAATTTAGATTATTTCGTTAAAATTAATAGTTATTTATGGGACGTAAATATATACATCGCAACGTGTTCGGGGTTCCACATTCCATGCTATGCACGCATGCGTAGTTTTCATAAACAAAACAGCATGGTTAGAGAGGGAAGCCTGGTAGGCCTGCTACATTGACAAAGTCGACCAAAAAGAAAAAGAAACTGAAAATAGAACTTGAAAAAGCAACTTTCCTGACTAAAATTTAGTTTGGAGATTAATATAATCGCTGGATAAGGAAGAAACGGGAACTCGGCGACACTCGTGCAGGGCTCTCGAAGGTTCTATTCGACAGGCTTGTTGATACTTGTTATCATTTCTCATTTTTCCATCGCTTTCAAATAAAAAATTAGTGTAAACTCAACATAAAAATACACCTTTGACTTATAAACATTGTTGCCATTTGAAGTGCTAATTTTTTTTAACTGTGCAGAAAAATATTTTGTTTGACATTTGCCGCGATAACGTATGATTAGTTGGTTTTTCCTTTCTCGGACCCCAATACACAAAACGTCAACATCTGTACTTTTAATTCTGTTAAATTCGCCTGAAAGCAGACTAAAATCTTTACAATTATTATTTTAGATTATTTTATCAGAAAGTTATGATAATTTGCTTTTGAAAATTGCTTTTACCTAATATTCATTATAATTGTAAA